CAGGAAGGAATTCTCTGAAATAAAACCGATGCTATTCTTTTCTCCCTTTTGTTGAACAAAATACTTATCACTGGGCATTGAACCTTTATTTTGGTCAATAAACAAGACACATTGTATCCTTGCTCAAATTACTGATAGAAATACATAATGAATGAGAGAAAATGCTTATTTTCGTCAATCGAACTCGATGATGACTGCGACATGTCGGGGTATGATGGTAAGCACGAACGAATGTCCACCAGCATTGACTTGAGGACCACCATCACCGAATGTTACGTATTGCATCAGTCGTGCTGCAATTACTTTCAGCTCAAATCGCGCTAAATCTTGCCCAATACACAGACGATGACCACCATCAAAGGGAATGAATGCATAAGGATGATGATTCTTGTCTTCATTCAGAAATCTTTCGGGATAGAAGAGTTCAGGGTCGATTGACCAGTATCGAGTGTCCTGTGCAAGATTGTGTAATAGAATGAACACTTGATCACCTTTCACTAATTGAGCTCCACTCTCGGGCAGACGATCATGGACGGTCAATGTGCGAACTGTATACTTGAAAAATATTATAAGTTAGAAAAAAAATAAAAAATCTTGAAATATCTTGAATCTTATTTATTATCTATCAACATGTAGGCTATGAATCTTGTACCTGATGATGAATGGGATGCATTTTTAGCAGCATTAAAAGAACCATTACCAGTTACTTTTCGTGTAACAGGTTTTCGTACGCATACTTTTGCTATAATGCATCTAATTCGCGAACGATATTTTCAACCATTTGAATCATCGACAACAATTGATAAACCAAAAGAACTTGTCTGGTCTGATTTCAATATTTATATATTCAAAGTTTTATAATAGAATTTTTCTTATAGATATCCAGGTAGTTTATCATGGCAATTAAATCTTAGTCGAAATCAATTACGTAGTTCTCCAGAATTACAAAAACTTAAAGAATTTCTTTATGAACAAACTGAACATGTAAATTATTTTAATTTATGAAATTCATTTTAATTTATTTGATTATTCATTCTAGGGAAATATCAGTCGTCAAGGTAATTAATCATGAATATATGAATCTATTCAAAGAAATATTATATACATATTTATTAGCCTCAAAAGTTTATCATACAGATTTAATTTCGAATTTTTTCTTGTAATGTTAACTGGTATATAAAGGTTAGAGAAATTTGTTTCTAATAAATATTTGAAGCAAATAAAATCCTGACTGTATTTCCAAAATTCAGGATCTCTCGAACCTAGTTTTTCAGTATCAGAGATGGGCAGCTCCGGCCTCTAACCACTCCAGCTCACGAGGGAACATTCCAAGGTTCCCGACCGCTTCCAAGTCGAGACATAGTACATCTTGTAGACCTTAGTGAGCTGTGTCTATGGTTAAAAAAGTTCGTGCTTATGGCTTGTTTTACAGGAGCTCGTTCACATCTAATTAAATTTGATTAACTAATTAGTTAATTAATTCAAATGTAATTAGCGACTAACACTCTAAGCTTATAACGGAAAAGTTCAAAAACTTCAGGAATGATTCCACGCCGCAAATCATATGTATAGTAAAGTTTTAAGCAAGATCGGACTCCAAAAACTCGGTATCTGTGCTTGTCCTAGAACGAGACTTTTTGTTTTGTTATCATCTTACAATCCCCAAGAAGGATTTGTAGCATTTAAAATCAGTTGTTTTAGACTTCTCATTCAGTTGCAAAATGATTTTTTCGTTTCTATATTCGTTCTCACTCATGTCACTAACAATGAATAAACTCAATATTTTGAAAAAGCTATGTTGAGGAAAAACTTTATGTAGAGATTTTGTAGCCTTAGAAGTTCTCAACAAAATGCACTATCTAGTTTTCAAAAATATTGTTTGAACGGGCAAAATTTGTAAACGTATACAATGGAAACCTTTGACCTTTTTTGTGCCACGTCGGTAAAGGTTAGTTTTTCAATAATAACTTTGTGAAACCAAAATCTATAAGACTGAGATTTTCAGGATATATAGAGTAACTTATCATACATCTGTTACATAAAAATTACTTAAATGAAATGTCCGTATCCAGATATATAAGCTTTTTTTCTCTAGTGAAATTACATCGCTAACAAATGAAAATTACCCATATATGTATAATTTGTAGAAGCTGTATCGATGATTCCACCTTTGGTTCTTGATATTCAACCTCATCATAAAGTATAAAATAGAAAAACAAAATGTTTTAATACACATAAAATACATTATTATTAAATTTAGATCTTAGATATGTGTGCAGCACCTGGTTCGAAAACTGCTCAAATAATTGAATGTCTTCATCGTGATGAATCAAATCCAATCCCAAGTAAATATATATATATATATATATATATATTCTTCATAATTAACTGTTATTTATCATTATTTATATTAAGGTGGTTTTGTTATTGCTAATGATGTTGATAATAAACGATGCTATACACTTGTTCATCAAGTTAAACGATTAGAAAGTCCATGTTTTGCTATTATGAATCATGATGCATCAAATTTACCGAATTTAAAAACTAATGTAAGTTATTTTCTTGGTTCATATTTTAATTTCTTCTATTCGATTCATATATGAAAGGATAGAAATATATTATTTGATCGTATTCTATGTGATGTTCCATGTTCTGGTGATGGAACACTTCGAAAAAATCCTGATCTATGGAAAAAATGGAATCCTGGACATGCATCTAGTTTACAATCAATACAATTACGTATTGCAACACGTGGTATACAACTTCTTGCACCCGGTGGTCTTATGGTTTATTCAACATGTTCAATGAATCCTATTGAAAATGAAGCTTTTGTTAGTCAATTATTACAAAAATTTCAAGGTCAAATTTCACTTATGAATATTAATGATAAATTACCAGGTTTACGAACTATACCTGGCTTAAAAAGTTGGTGTATCATAGGAAAAAATCAAGAAATTTATAATTCATTTGGAGAAGTACCAAAAAATATGCAATCATTAGTTCGACCAAATATGTTTCCACCTTCAAATGATATTCTAGAACAATTACATCTTGAGCGATGGTAAATTAATTTTTTTTTTGCTAATCGAATATCTGATTTCTAAGATTACAGAAAAAAATAAATAATATTGAAGATTTTCTACTTCTATAGGGACTCTGAAAATATTCATAACAGATGAATATGAAGCAGGGATATCCAGAGGTTAACAAAATTGTGGAATCAGTGAATAAAAACAAACAATAAAATGCTGAAACTTAACTGAAGGAAAACGAAATTTTTTTAATATCCGGAGTGTCATTCCCCCTCTTGGTACATCTCTGATGTGAAGAGAAGAGAAATAGTATGAGGAATGTATTACTTTAATTACTAGAAACTATTGCATTAGAAAAGAATAAGCGTTCGATTTTTCATTTTATTGAAAAATTGTTATAATTCTTTTGATTGTTTAGAAATTTCTATACACTTTCATTTCACTTATCGAATAATTGAAAACTATATAAAATAAATGCGGAAACTTCGGATTTAAATCCGAGAGTTATGTGTACTTCAAAAAGTGAATTAGACAGATGAGTCATCCTAGAATGCGTGGATATCAAAATTATACTGGGAAACCTTTCCTATAAACTGTTTATTTCTGTTGGCTATTGGTCCATCAATAGGGCTTAGAGGCGAATAGAGTGAAAATTTGAACTCTTCGCCTTGATTAACCCTAAGAAAGTCGTTTTTTCCTATAACTTGATTTCTATTGGTCACTGCTCAACCACTAATATTTCGAGGCAAGTGGAGTACGGATTCGAGTTCTCCGCCCCAGAAAACCTCAAAGTATCAACTCTATGATCGGAAGATAGAGCTCGAATTGTGAGTCAATTAGATCGTGGGCAAAAACGGAACCCATTTCCCTTTAATTATCTTTGTAGTAGGTGAGTTAGCCTTCTTGTTACTTTATGTTTTATATACCATTTTGTAGCTCGTGAAATTCTCTATCGAAAGGTATATAATAGTTGGGGTTTTATTTAACTATGATAGGAAAAATTGTTTACGAAAGCCAAGATGGGTCAGTTTTCGCATAGGAAAAAATGAGTATTTTTGCAATAACTCAGGAATGGTTCAGCCAATTCTTCTCATCTTCTTCTCTCGACCGAGACATTGTTAAGACTGAACTGTGTAGAAAATTTCATCGCGATTGGACTCTCCTTTCAAAAGTTATCGTGTTAACGGCCGGACGGCCGGACATACTGACCGATTCTAGAGTGTACTCACTTTTTGAGTACACAAAAACGTGATGTTTTATATTAATTCGAGCAAATCTTCTATTATTTATAATATAGATTTGGACAGATAACGATCACTTATTGTTACATATTATTCGAGAAATGATTTTTTTTTAAAATATATTTATATAAATTGTCTCTATTAGAAATATAGTAGAAGGTAGGAAATACGAAACCTTTTCCATAATGTAAGTTGTGTGTTGATATAGAAAATAGTATAGGCATTTTATTTAATAGACGATCCAATTAAATAATATGAAACCTAATAATAATCTCGATAGACCTTAGAAAAATAAAGATTTCTATGATAATGTTGATCATTGTTTAGTAGTATAATATAATTCTCAAAAACTAATCGTTATCTTATGATAATATAATTGATACACTATAAATAGATTCTTCTTTTTCATATACTTATTATATAACGAATTTAAATTTCGATTTTATTGTTATTCTCATGCAGAAATATGTATACCTATTAGAGAGGAGAGATATAAATAATATTTATCTATGATCAGTGATTAATTACTCTTATT